TATATATATATATATATATATATATAGCATTACGATCGAACTTAATAATTATTTATGCATAATAGTACAAGAAAATATTAATTTGTAATATTGATAGAAATTTGACTTTCTGTGCCTAACAAGTAAATGAAATTTAAAAATACTATATCGCGATGCAAAACTGACGATGCATCACGATATATAATTTCTAATATCGCCCAGTCCTAATCCGAAGACATACCATCACAATTTTAATCCTCTGCAGAGAGGATGGCACCTCAGCTTCGGTAGCCTGACGACCTGCACGCGAAATCTTGACGTAAAAAGACGCAAGAAGATTATGCATTGCCAAATGGCAACATTAAGGAAACCCAAACAGTAACCAAAACACAGAATGCCAAAAAGAACGTTTTCAATCTGTCTGGATAGTTATTTTGTTATTACCAAATTAAAAATAATTATGTTTCTTCTGATTATTAACTGTTTGATGGAAATATGTTTGTAATAAAATATTGAAAAAGTATAAAGGTTAAGTCAATATTTTGATGCTTAAAAAAGTTTTGAAACCTAATAAATCTGTTGTACATTTCATGATGAAAAATAATCTTATACTTGGGTTAATTCTGCTATTTTTAGATAATTATTCCTAATTAAACATGGAAGATCAATTGTTGGCTTTAAAACATTTTGCTCTTAAATATAAAGCTTAGTGCTCTAAATATCAAATGGAACACAATTACTTTCTTTGGCAAATATTTTTTTATAAAATTTATGTTGAATAAATCTCCTCTTATAGAGCTATAACGTATTGAATTTCTAAGATTCTTTGTCTTGGATTTCGGATTTGTAAGCTTTATTATGAATAATTAAATATGTATTAAATAATTTAATTTAAAGAAAGAGATAAGTTCAAATGTTTTTCTTTTTTTGATATCTCTTTATAAACCCATTTTGTTTGGTGGCTTTTTTTAGTGTAAATAGATGTGAGGTATCTTTATAAATTTTTCTTGGCAACAGTATAAAACATATTTCAAATGTATTTGCGTAACATTTTTATTTATGGTACTTAAGTATTATACCAGCTACCAATTTAACCTATTCAGAAAGTAAATTTATATGTGTTTAAAATTGTAATTTTTGCTCATTTTTTGCATGTAAGAAGTTATCTTTGTATTTTTTTTCTTACCCTTTCACAATAAATTACTTTCCAAAAATAAATTTGAAAGATAACGAAGGCACAGTGTTGGTGAAAATGGTTGACGGATAATACGTTAATATTCTCTCAGGATTCTAATTTCACCATCCTAACATTTTTGCATTTTTACGTGTCGTTGGCATTTTTACAGTATATAAGAGTCTTAACACATCTACTGTTTTATACACTTTTGTAAATATCTTATCACCTTTGTACATTTTACTCACTTCGTGCGTATTATACTGTATTCATACTTTTTATCTGATTTTATTCATACCTTTTATCTGATTTTAATTAGATTATCTTGTCTTAATCACCCACTAGTACTATTTTATCAATTATAATTGTGTTACAATCAAATTTCGTATGCACCTAGGTTTTTAAATGAATTCACCGTATTGTTTGGCGCAGCATGTCCTCATCTGGACCTTGCGCCACTAAACCCTACATTCAATTCAATTCAACTCAGGATTCTAATATTTACAAGAGTGAAAATATAAAATTTATTGAGTAACAAACAGGAAATAAAATTTAGAAACATAAAGATAGGAATAAATAAACACTATTTAAATTGAACATAATATGCTGCTGCGTCCATATAGGCTTTAAAGGCATGTGGTTTATTTTCGTTTTCAATGCAGTTATCCTTTCATTCGAGTGCTTGTATTTTTTTTCTGCTCTGGTGGGTTCTGTGCCCCACACAGCAACATTATTTTTTCTGCATCATTTTCGTGGTCAATTTTTTTGATCATATCTATGAATATGTAAATATTTGGATTTGATGGCACTCCTCTACGGCTTAGTTTGGAGTGCCACCCCTCAACATGGTTATTTGTCCGCACATTGTCAAAGTGGTTCCAAATGTGCCTACAAAATAATATTAAAAACGAGTAAATTAAAGTACATTAACAATTATAATAAAAAAAAAATTGAGATTTAATGTTTTTTCTAAAACGTTTTTCAA